TGGGAGCCACAGGGCGGGGCCTGGGGAACGGGCTGAATGAAAGGTTTTCCCCAGGCCACACTTGCTCCAGAAAAAGAGTTGGAAACCTTATTCTGCAAAGGTCTGGTGAGCAAGTATTTTAGTATTTAGTATTTTAGAGCAAGTGTTTTCAGACCATATGGTTTTTGTCTTAATGACTCAACTCATCCATTGTAGGGAGAAAAACATGTCTGTGTTCCCATTAAACTTTATTTGCCAGGCAGGTGAGTGGACTTTGGCCCACAGGCTATAGTTGGCCAATCCTAGCTCTAGATAAACCTACATTCTATTTGTCAACTGCTGCAGCATTTTACCGACTCACTGAGAGTGTCAATCACTCCATTCAGCCCTGCTCCCTTCCTCTAGATGGTTAGAAGTGTCCAGAATGGAATTCACAAAAGCAGTACTGAAAGCCCTGGATTCTCTCCAGTTTCAATGATCACATCTATTCATTATTGAGTTTCTGATAAGTGCGGGGCCTTACTAACGTTTCTCTGATCCGGAGGGTCAGGTGTTACTAACCCCATAGTACAGATGAGGCAGCCAGGCGCACACAGTTAAGAGGGTTAGGAAACTGCTCTTTGAAGTCAGGTGGACCTGGGTTCAAGTCCTGGCCCCAACACCTTCTAAATGTGGGTTCTTAGGACATTGCCTATCCTCACTAGGCATAATCTGAAAAACAGGGATAATACTATCTATTTCCTGGGGGTTATGGTTTGGACAGCATAATATAATCAATACGAAGCACATCCCTTGACACAGGGTGAACGCTCAACAAATGGTTTTGATGTTAAGTGACCATGCTAAGATTTAAACTCAGTTCTACTGATTCCAAATTCTTTGTTGTGTCCCCTGCATCACACGTCTCTCTTCTCAACAAGGGGGTTCTTAGTGGAGTCACGCCCTCAGATTCTTGTATCTACTCGTACTGGCTCTTTTTCCTTCTGAAGCCCATCTGGAACACAGCTGTGAGGCTACAAGCAGAGCATTGTCCTGTGGGGATGAGGCAGGGTTTCTGTGTGTCATCTCAGGGGGCTAATCAGGATGACCCCCTTGGAGGGCAGTGACTCCGGGGGACCGGTGGGAATATCCACCCATGACACCCATAGGCATGGCAACCGTTATCCAGGGCACGGATCCTGCACTGGGTGGAGGCTTCGTTTGCAGCTCCAATGGGTGGGTTATGTTCACCCTCTTGCCTCCAGGCCAGCCATCTGCTTCCCCTCAGAATTACCTGCCAGCAGCCTTTATACCAGGTTGGTTCATTAAGGAGAGTTCCAGAGAAATTGCCAGGATTTTCCATTTCCCATTCTGGACAACATTAACTTTCACTCATTCACTACAAGTTCTTAGAGCTAATTTTCTGTGGAATTTTTTCCAAAGTAATAGGTTATGTCTTGTTTCCTCCCTCTTCCTTCCTTCTTTCCATCCATGAATCCATCCTTCTTTAACCTGTCTATCTTTCCATCCATTCATCCATCCAAGCTTTGAAAATATAATTATATGTCAAACACTGTGTTACATACTCAGGGAAGCAAAAGTCACAGCTCCACTTTCAAAGAATCACAGTCTCGTAGAGGAAAGCTAAGTGCAAAGACAGCTAAAATATCGTGTGAGAAAGGTTTTTTCATCCCAGGCAGGGCAGCCAGGGGAGGCTTGCTGGGGGAGCAAAGGCTGGCATGAAGTCTTGAGAAGTGAGTCAGAATTACTGCTCAGAGAAAAGCTGACAAGAAGTGGTGTGTGTGTGTGCATGTGTGTGTGTATGTGTGTGCATGTGTGCGAGTACCTGTGTTGAGGGTGCTAAAGTGATGAAGCACATTCCAGACATGGAGAGTCATGAAGTGGTGTGGCTTTATGGGGACAGTGCATATGGTTTATATGGCTGGAGAATAGGCATATGGGAAGTGTGGCAGGAGATGGGCCAGAGAGATAGGCAGGGAGCAGAGTGGGAGGGGCCTCATTCCTACCTCAGGAGTGGCCAGGGGCTTGGCCTGCTGGGGGCACCACTGGAGAACTTTAAGTTGGAGAGTGACAGGGCCAGGTGTGGGGCTGAGCAAAGCAGGCTAAGGAGTGAAGGACTATTATGCTTCCTCACAGATACTTTTTTTCTGCAAAAGCATGGCTGTCATTGGAGGACAATGGGAATGGGTTAACAGTTGGGAAAGCATAACCCCAAAACTTTGTGAACCTCCCAAACTCAAATAGGCCCAGTTGTCTCATTTTAAGAAGGAGGAAACTGACACCAAAGGGGTTTTCCAAAGATTTTCATGGAGGGATTTAACTGAAGGATAAGCACCCAGTTGTTGCAGTGGACTCAAGTGTCTTTGAGACACATCTGCCAGGGGAAGGATGATGATATTCAAGCCACCACCTCATTCTGACTTACGCAAGTGTTCCTTTGGATGGAAAAGACTCTTGACTTCAGAGATGGAGAGAAACAGAATGCATGTTCCTTGAGAATAGTCAAGAGGCCTGAAGCTTGTTGAGCTTGCTGCAAAAGTTCGTTCCCAGTTCTTCTTTCTGCCCCTTTGCCTGCACCTTGGGTTTGGAGACGGGGCAACTCAAGCTGGCTGAAAGGTTTTGTTTTCGTTTAGCAATGAATCTGAAGACCGCTTGAAAAAATAGTCACAGTACTGGGGTTAAAATACTAGAGATGATCAACAAGCTGACTCATAGAAGTAGCGAAACTCCACTCTCCGAGGGAAGGTATTCATTGCTCGAGGCAGACAGGAAAATACGTCTTTCAGTTTCCAAGATGTGTTTTGAGTTTCTGGTTTACTCAGAGATGCCATGTGTATATGTATACTAGAGATAGTAGTTGTTAAATCAACACTGGCTCCGTTCTGGCACATCCCACACGTTCGTGCTCACTTCTTTGTCAAAGGAAGGTGGTTGAGTTGGTGGATGGAGAAAAGGCTTTGGTTTGGAGAAAATGGGGCTCAAATCCCACCTCTCTCACCATGCTGCCTGGTCACACTTGACCTTGAACATCAGTTTTCTCCAGTCTAGAATGAGGATGATACCTTTCTCATAAGGTTGTGAAATAACACATTGAAACTCCTGGCACTGTGCTTGGTATATCCTATAATTTTACTCATCACTGCCCTTCACAGAAAAGCATGCTAGGGAGTCATGCATGACTGTCCTGAGGCTCAGCTTTCTCATCTGTGAAATGGGGATAAAACTCTAACTCCTGGGTGTGCTGTGTAATGTACACGCAGTGCACAGCAGAGTGCCAGGCACATAGAAATTGCTCCCAAGGGTGGGCAAGATTTCAGCTCCTACCTTCACTGGGTAACAGATCACTTCTTCTGGAAGTTATTTGGCAAACTCTCGGGAGCACAACCCTGAACCAAGAAAGCAAGCAAAAAGAACCTCCTTCTCCCACTCTCTTCTCTGAGCTATCAGAATCAGTGTGGCCAAGTTCACTCACTTTCCTCAAGGCAGAGCTCTCAGACCCTAACTTAGAACTCTTAGGAGACAGGCTTCTCTCCAGTTTGGGTTTCTGATTTCTTGGCCCTTGTCATATTAGAGGAAGCCAACTAGGAGGGATTGGAGTGTTAGAATCAGAGAGGCAGAAACACTGAGAATCCACAGATGAACAGGGTAAGCACAGAGGGAAAAGAATGAGGCAAGGGAGACGTCCAGGGCGCAAGATAGAAGTAGGCCCTCACTCTTGGGGTCATGTTTGGTATTTCTGAGTAAATCAGAAATCTAACAGCCTGGGCCGGCCCTGTGGCTTGGTGGTTAAGTGCACGCGCTGCGATGCTGGTGGCACGGGTTCGGATCCCGGGTGCGCATCGAGGCACCACTTCTCCGTTCATCCTGAGGCCGAGTCCCACATACAGCAACTAGAAGGATGTGCAGCTACGACATACAACTACCCACTGGGGCTTTGGGGGGAAAAAATAAAATAAATAAAATCTTTAAAAAAAAAAAAAAAAAGAAGGAACCTAACAGCCTGACAGGGAGGACCTCTAAATCCTGTGTCCTGGGTGTTTTCACCTCACCCTAGTCCCAGGTCTGAGCAATGCCATTAATGATTGACCAACAGGGAGAGGCCACATGAGTCAAGTGAGATGGTGCTGAATTGTTGGAATTGCCCCACAGAGAGAGGGCACCCTGTTTGGACAGAGTGGGTATTGAAGTTGGCTACAAAGAAGGACTCCCTCAAGTGTAAAAATAATGACTATTTCTTGAGCACGTAGGAGTTGCATTATTATATGTGCTTTTTGTACATCATCACTGCACTCCAACGAGATAGTATTATTAATCCCTGTTTTACAGAAGAGAAAATGGAGCCCTAGAGAAGTCCAAAGTCATTTAAGTATAATAGGGAGAGGGACTTTACCCAAGCTTTCAACCCCCAAGTTTGCACCCCCCACTGCGCTCCACCGTGTCCTCAACTTTGGGAAGCGTTCCCATGGCGACCTATGGATGGACCCGCATCTTTCAAGCCGTCCTCCAGCTTCACCTCATGCCATCCTCCTCCTTGTCTACTAAGCTCTAGCTTAGTGGGTAACTTTGGCTTTTTTCTTGCCATTTCTTGAATAATCCAAACTCATTCCTACCTCAGGAATTTTTGCACTTGCTGTTCCCTCTGCCCGGAATTCTCTCCTCCTAGAGCTTTGCCTGGGGTACTCCTCATCCTTCAAGTCTCAAGGTCACCTCTCAGAGGGGCCTTCCTCTTAGCATGCCCTCCTCTCCTGCTGCATTTTATCTACATCTGAAATTTTTTCTGACACCGTCTCATCCTACTAGCGTGTCAGCTCCTGGAGAGCAGGAACCTTGTCTGCCTTCTTCGCAGCTTATCCTTGGTTCTTAGAGCCCGACACGTAGCAGATTCTCAATGGGCATTTGTTAAATGAATGGGCTCTTGAATTGATTTCGGGATTTCGCATGCCCTGTGTGTCGTGAGGCTGTAACTGTAAAGCAAGGTCTTGTCTTGAACATTATCTCTCTGTTTATCTTTTCTAGTTAACTGTCCCGAAGGAAGCTATTTTCGGGATGAGCAATGTATTCCCTGTCCTGTTGGATTCTACCAAGAACGGGCAGGTAGCTTGGTCTGTGTGCCATGTCCTGTGGGCAGAACGACCATTTCTGATGGAGCTTTCAGCCAGACTCACTGTAAGTTCTGCAGGGTCCTGCTTTGAAAGAGAAACCCTACAATGCATCAAAGACACAGCAGGGCGTCTCAACCTCAGCACTATTGAAATTTTGGGACAGATAATTCTTCATTTGGGGGATGTCAGGATGTTTATTTAGTAGCATCTCTGGCCGTTACTGTCAGATGCCAGTAGCACACCCCACTGCCATGCTGTGACGACCCAGCATGTCTCTAGACATTGCCAAGTCCATTGCCCACCACTGAGAACCATTGGGAACATAGCATAATAATCAAAGGGGCACCATCTCTGAAGGCCTATACCCTGTCAGAATCTGGGCCAGACATTTTACCTGTGTGGTCTCATTCAATCCTCCCATCTCCTCTTCTAGGTAAATATCATCAGCCCAACTTTTACAGATCAAAAGGCTAAGTCTCAGAAAAGTAATTTAGCTCAAGTCACTCAGCTAGTAAGTGACATAGCTGGCCTTTGATCTTGGTACTGTCTGATTCTGAAACTTCTGATTTTTGTAAGTCGACCTTATCAGATTGAGAAGTGGAAGACATTTTCCACCTACAGTCGCTGCCACCGTGTAGCTCATATTCCCGTTCTGGTCCTCTACATTTGACAGGACTGTGTGTACTTGTGGCCTTCCCATATGTCATGTGATTTCTCTTGGCCTAGTTACTTAATCGTCACTTGGGTATTGTTGGGTTTTTCCTAGCAAGGACCCAGAGCTTGCCTCGCTGTGTGTCTTTTCATGTTAGTCTGAAATTACGTCAACATGAGGAAATCATTATTGCTTAAAATCTGAATAGTGTTTAGAATTTTAAAATAAACAAAAGAGATCAAGTCACCTTCTCTGATAAGGGCAATTTCCTTCGTCAGGAGAGCAATGGTAATAAGGCGATAATTTCAAGAAAATAAAAGTAAGGGGTATTTTATAGGCCGGGAGTCTGACATGCCTCCTAGAGAAGAAACTCTTTCCCAGGAACGCAGAGTGTCCTTGACATATGGACATCCCCCTCAGTTTGCACACGTTGACTGCAGTCACTGTGGTCTGAGATGACTTGAAGTGCCATCACACTGCCAGAGGAATGCTTTCTTAAAAGGGGATTGCTGTAATGTACTGATCCTTGATTATGGAGGGGATCTACAGAAAAGGTAGGGAACAGAAAAAGGGGCTCAGGCTCGGCACCAGCCAAACCCATTTCCACCCCCGCTGTCCCTCCTACTGGCACTGTGATCTAGGCCAAGTCACCTTCCTTCTTGGAATGTCAACTTCCTCATTTAGTAGATGGGGCCAGTTATACTCAGAGAGTGATTATAAAGCGTGTCTTAGTCAGTTTGGGCTGCTATATACAAATCACCATAGACTGGGTGGCTTCAACAATACGTGTTCATTTCTCATGGTCTGGAAGCTGGAAGTCCAAGATCAGGATGCCAGCATGGTCAGGTTCTCAGTGAGGGACTACTTCCCAGTTGTGTCCTCACCGGGCCTTTCCTTAGTGCATTCATGCAGAGCAAGAGATCTCCTGTGTCTTCCTCTATTTGTAAGGGCACTAATCCCATCACAGGGATTCCACCCTCATAACCTCATTTAAACCTAATCACCTCCCAAAGGTCCCACCTCCAAATACCATCGCATGGGGGGTTAGGCGTTCAACATATGAATTTGAGAGGAGAGGATACAAATGTTCAGTCCATAGCAAAGTGGAATCCATTAAAATGTTTAAGATGAACAATAACCATTCATCCCCATGCCACTTTTGGGGTAAGCTTTGATTGCATTTCCACGTAGAAGTGGAGGTCTGTCACATCATTATCACTCTCCCAGACATCTTGAGTAATGGAATAGATTTCAGTGAATGGGTCTCCAGCATCAGGGCTAAGGGTCTGTTTATATCTAAGAACTTCTCCATGACTCATTAACTCCGCAGTCCTGTCTGTTATATTACCTGGTCTGTGTTCCTAGATGGAGTCATGTTGAAGAGAAGCACAGGGTAGTAAAGTCTGCCAGGTTTCAAGTGATGCCAAGCTATTGCAATATTTCCTTGGTTTCCTTTTGGTGTTAGGATAGCTTTTAGAATCTCAATTCCTCTACAGATTTCAGGCTGTTAGCTGTGCTTCTGAATGACTGGCTACAGATTGGAGGTTCCAACAACCCCTCCAACTCAGGATGCCAATCACAAGCCCAGGATGTTTCCTGCACTTCTGACTGAAGGGCTGTACGTCAGAGGTTCCCAAGACCCCCCTCCTTGGATTCAACTAATTTGCTAGAGCAGCTCACAGAACTCAGAGAAACATTTTACTTACTAGGTCACTGGTTTATTATAAAAGGATATAATTCAGGAACAGCCAGATGAAAGAGATGCATAGGACAAGGGATGGGGAAAGGGTGCAGAGCTTCCATGCCCTCTCCAGGTGAGCCACTCTCCTCAAATCTCCGTGTGTTCACCAACCCAGAAGCTCTCCAAACCCGGTCCTTTTGGGTTTTTATGGAGACTTCATTATGTAAGCATGATTGATTAAATCATTGGCCATTGGTGATTGATTCAACCTCCAGCCCCTTTCCCCACCTGGATGTCAGTGGGTGGGGCTGAAAGTCCCAACCTTCTAATCACCTGTTGGGTTCCTCTGGCAACCAGCCCCCTTCCATAGATGCATACAAAAAAGTCACCTCATTAACATAACAAAAGACACCTCTATAGCTTTCATCACTTAGGAAATTCCAAGAGTTTTAGGAGCTCTGTGCCAGAAAAGGGATGAAGATCAAATTTATATGTTTCTTGTTATAAATCACAATATCACAAGGAGGGAGCTAGATATTATGTGACAGAACTGAGCAAGACACTGGAATACAAGAGCGAACAAAAGGAGATCAGGTCCCTCCCTGCTCGGAGCTTCTATTGAGTGGAGGCAGACAGTCCTCATCAACCATTCTTTCACTCAGACAAATAGAAATAATAAAAATAATAACCACGCTCCGTGCTATGAGGACAGATGTGAGTTGATAGGAGAGTGTGTCGGACATCAGGGGGTAGGGGGGCTTCTCTGAGGGAATGAAGGTTGAATTGATGAGGGTTGATGGGCAGTGAAGAGTTAACTCATTGAAGATTGGGGAGAACTGTGCGCCAGGAGAAGGAACAGCTGGGTAGAGCCTGTGTTTGAGCAAATGGTATAAGAGAAGGTGGTGTGTTCCAGGTACTGCGTGCAGCAGATTGTGGAAGCACAGGGCGCAGGTGCAGAGTTAGATGGGTGGGGCCAGATCACAGAGGCCTTAGTGGCCCAACAGTGAGCCTGGACATCATCCTTTGGTCAGGTGATGAGTTTTACACTAGAGAGTGTCTGGCTCAGACGTGTGACTTGGACGACTGATCAACGACTGGGAGCCTGGGGGTGGGGAGGAGAGGGGAGCCCAGAGGCACGTCATTGATTGTTGAGTCTATCTCTTGGTTCCAGGCGTCACTGACTGTCAGAGGAATGAGATGGGCCTGCAGTGTGACCAGGACGGCCAGTACCGAGCCAGCCAGAGGGACGGGGGCAGTGGGAAGGCCTTCTGTGTGGACGGCGAGGGGCGGAGGCTGCTGTGGTCGGAAACCGAGGCCCCCCTCATGGACACCCAGTGTCTGGGTATGTGCAGCCCGTTAAATCAGCCATGATACTGGGGAGAGGGCATGTGCTCTCAAGGGCTTTTTAGAAAGGGAGAGACATGAGATGCGTTTATCCTCAACTTTTTTTTTTTTTTAAAGATTTTATTTATTTATTATTTTTCCCCCCAAAGCCCCAGTAGATAGTTGTATGCCATAGCTGCACATGCTTCTAGCCGCTGTATGTGGGACACGGCCTCAGCACGGCCGGAGAAGCGGTGCGTCGGTGCGCGCCCGGGATCCGAACCCGGGTCGCCAGCAGCGGAGCGCGCGCACCCAACCGCTAAGCCATGGGGCCGGCCCTATCCTCAACTTTTTATTGTGAAAATGTTTAATCTATATAGGAGTTAAAAGAATAGTAGAGTGAATAAATATCTGTCACCTAGGTCCAAAATTGTTAGTATTTTGCTCTTTCACTTTCTCTCCATTTGTAATCATTGGAGAGTACATTTCAGACATCATGAAACCTCACCCCTAAATACTTCGGCATGCATGAGAAATGAATTAAAAAAAAATGAATCTGCTGAGGTTTCCTTTCTTGTGGGCAGCTCGCCTCTGAAAAGATGGGCAGCCTTTCCCTTGGTGGGTTGTCGTGAGAAGACGTGAGTGCCAGTCCTGGTTCCATAATTTACTTGCTGGGCGACCCAGAGCAAATTGCTCAACTTCTCTGATCCTCAGTCACCCCACCAGCCTCCTGAGACAATGTGAGGGTTAACCTCATCCTGTGAAGATGACAAACATTCAGTGGGCGCTACCCTGTGCCAGACACAGATCTTCAATGAGACAATGGCTAGGAAAGTCCCAGGTGACCCAACAAATGTCCTACAATACTGGGTGCGATGGGAGTGGGGTCAGAACTAGTTTAGTCCCAGTGGTGCCCTTTACTGGCTGTGTAGTGTTGGGCAAGTCACTTACCTTCCACAGTTTCCTCATCTGTAAAATGGGGATATTAATGTCCACCTTGTGGGGGAGTTGAGCGTTAGCAATGACATACTTAACAGAGGAAACAAATATTTCAGGGTGATTAGAAGACTCATTAATACCGGTTGCCTTGTTTCCTCTTCTGTTAAACAATGAGCAGGCCGAGATAATCTGCAAGGTCCTTTAATTCTGCCCTCTTCTAAGTCTTCAGGATTCTGCGCCACTTTTCCATAGAGTCGCCTTCGCTGCTTGAGGGCCTGTGACTTAGCTTTGCACACTTGACACACCAGATCAAGCCCTAGCTGCCCGTGTCTCTTAGATTTCTGTGTAAGGAGAGGGCCAGACATACATGGGCTTCCTATGTGCCCAGCCCATTTACATGGGCTAGCTAATTGTAAGCTTCACAGAGGTTCCCACAGGTAGATGTTCTTATGCCCAATAATGTAGTTGAAGAAACTGAGGCAAAGAATGTTTAAGTGACTTATCTTTGTCACATAATCAGGATAACATACCTAGCATTTGAACTGGTGTGTGTCTGACTCAAACCCATTCTTTCCATTACACCAATCTGTGCTACTACCTAGAGTCATCTGCTTCCTCATCAAACACACACCTGTACCCACACGTGCACACTTGCACACAAGCATAATACACACACATACATGCGCACACATGCACACATAGCCTGTGTGCTCTTTAAGGAAGTTGGTGCAGTTAATGATATAAAACATCTGAGAAAATCCTAGTGAGAAATTTTCATTTTATGATGCTCAGAACAATCATTTCCCTTCTCCAGTAAAGTGCTAATAAATCCCAAGGATTGTGTGTGTGTGTGTGTGTGTGTGTATGTGTCTGTGTGTGTGTCCATGGATAAATTGCAAATCCAATGAAAGTATTATTATCTTTTTCCTGCATTCCTCCTCTTGGGCAGAAGTAGCTATCAGGGGAGCTAGAGATGGAAGGTGCTTTCAGAGATTAGTCAGGCAGATCTTTGCTGCCCTTCACATTGAGGGAGAGGACGTCCACAGAGGGGAAGGACTTGCCCAGGGGCCGTTGTGCTTCTGCCCTTTCTGAGGTTATCACCTACCGGTTGGATATTAACTCCAGTGCTCTTTGCATCCCTGTCGATGGCTCCACTTTGAGGATTGTCATGTGCACTTTGTAAAGCATTCATGGCTTGTTCTGCGCTAATCAATGGCACCAGAAGCGTTTACGAGTAATGGCTCAGCTTTGCCAAACTCAGTGCCGCCTCCCTGAGGTGCTGGCTTGTGAATGCCTCCAGATGGGTCCTCAGCAGTTTTGGCTTCTTATGCAAAGCTCTGAGGTTAAGTTTCCCTCTCTGGATATGCAGGAGGATTTCCACGTTAAGACACTGGGCCCCCACGGGACGTCAACATGCCTCTTCTCAAAATTCTCTCCACTTGCCTTTGAGAGTATCTTTCTCTTTGGAGGTGAAATTCCAGTCTCATTTTTGAGTCTTTTGTCATCTTGAAAAAGCAAAGGGCGTGGAGGTCAGTTATATAACTCCCCAAATGGGGATTTGCCCTCTCCACCCCCATGTCCACCCACTTTGTCCAGACCTGGGTTGTCACCTGCATGGATTACTGCCTCCTAGCACCTCTTCCTGCTCTAGTCGTGCCCCCCTCCATCGTTTTTCTACGATGCTTCAGAGCAATTATTCTAAAAGGCGATTCTGTGTACGCAACACCCCTTAAAACTCTTCAGTGGTTCTGCGATGCCCTCGGGATGAAGCAAAATTGCACGCCCCGGCCTCCTCTCTGGGCTCTAGCCTCGTTAGCTAGTACGCTCCTGTGGGGCCAGAACTGTGTCTTACCTTTTGTTCTAGTCCACAGCAGTCGGTGCTCGTTGACAGAATGCATGAATTGCTCCGGTTATCTGGGCTTCTTCAAAACTGTTTCCTACAGGTCATCGGGGAGGGAGATTCTCCCACCACCTGGATTCCTGCGGCCAATTTACAAGCCCTGTGCTTAGGCAGGGTGTCCTTGCAGGGGGCAGAGGGACCTGGCATTTCCTGAGTTGTTGCATGTACCAGGTCTCCCATGCTGTTCTGTTTAGTCCTCACCACCAGGAAGCTGGCTCTCCGAGAGTGAAACGTGCGCCAGGGCACAGAGCTGGCGAGGGGTGGTGGCATCCGGACTTGAGCCCGGGGCTGATTCCAGAGCCAGTGCTCCTTCCCCACTGCCTGCTGCCTCCCTGTCTTAGCTCCCTCCTGCTGTAGCCTCCCGGCCGTCCTCTTCTCTCTGTGGCCCGTGGTTAACCCCTCGTTTCCTCACAGTTAGTTGTTTATGCACTGACCTTTGCCAGTAGAAATATTTTGCGGTCATCTTCCCTTTAACTCTAGATCCAGTTTTCTAATTCTGCTTTTTGTTGACTCATACCAAAGACTTCGTATACCGTGTCAAGTGCCCGAAGAAAGGAATATGCCTGCCCTTGGAATCACACCACCTCCATAATGTTCTCTCTAGTTTTCCTGGTGTTGTAATGATCTTGGCAGTCATTCATTCATCCATCCATCCGTCCTTCCATCCATCCATCCATCCATCCATCCATCCATCCATCCATCCAATAAACAGGAAACTAGTATGTCTGTCACTATTCTAGCTAGTAGGGGTTCAAATATTCTCAGGACATTGTCCTTGTCTTAGAAAGAGACAAGTACATATGTAGCCATGAAACACTGTACAAGAATCTTGATCAAATATAATGACGTGCTCTGATGTTGGCCCTTAATGCTTTCCCTAAGTCATTTGTAAGTATCTGCTAAGTAGAAATTTGGTGTGTGGGAAATTATACCAAGAGAATGTATAAATCTGCAAGCTAACTCAATATTCCATGGAATCATTGCAACTCAGTTTATAGATTATTTCTGTTCTGTTTGGTGATGAGCTTCTTCATAGAATGCTGCGATGTGAAGATCTCCATCACCAAGGTGTCCCTTTTCTGAAAACCAGCAGATTCTCTAATGAAGTGCTAAATTTATTGCATTACGACCACTGGGAAGATTTTAATTGGAAACGGAAAGACCTTTCAAATTTTAGTTAGTCTCCTAGAATGTTGTGAGCTTGTGGTCTATACTAATCAAACCTTAGGGACACTGGGCTGCATATAGCATGGTGTTTGCTGGACTGGGGCCCGAAGTCTATACAAACAAGAGACCAAGGAGTATAAAAATAAAAAAGAGAGGAAGACGTGAGAGCAGACGGACTGAATAGGGGAAGCACATGAACTTGGTGACTTCAATGATAAGTCTGGAAGGGCCACTTTGTAAAATTAGATTTTTTTCTATATCAAAAGTTTTAAAGGCTTAATGCATGTCATTTCTGTTATATAATACTCCCCTCTCCCAACCCCATCCCAAAATGAATAAACTTTTTTTTGCACTTATTATGAAAGCTGAGAAAAGATTGGTTTGGATGGTCTTAAAGTTATTGAGATGATGAAAACCAATCTAGACACAAGTCTCTTTCGTAAAGCAATAGGTGTGCTTATGAGCTTATAATTATGTCTGCAAAAAACTAGCACTCGTGTGCGTTGGGGCTTGTTTTTTGATAGTTACCTGTAAAGTATTGACACCTTTGGGCATTTTGGCTTGTAAAATGCATCTCATCCCCGGAGAGTTACGCACAGTGCTTTTTCGCTTGGTTGATGAAGAGTGAGTTCCAGGTCTCATAGCCTTGGGAAAGTTTATTTCTTTCTCCTCCCTTGTCTAGTTTCATAAGCCTGTGACTATGTTATTCCTACCAGACAGGAGCGCAGAGATGTTGATGGTAGCTGGAAAAACAGATGCTAATACATCATTTAAACAAATACTGTCGTAAAAATGCCTGAGCCACATGACACTCTTTCAGATTTACATGAACCCATATGCACATGTTTTATTTGTATTTTTAAAAATAACTTACCTCTTTTTCCAGAAAGAAGTCAAGTTGTCTTATGGAAAGAAAATTTTCCATAAAATAATTGCAAGATATAGTTAGCACTCAAAGATAAGGACAGGGAAGTCTAAATTTGATAGAAAATCAATATTAATGAGAAAAAATGAGTTGTCAGGACTAACATAATATTAAATTTCCTCCTTACTTCCTGACAATGAGGGAGAAAAAGCAGACGTGGTAAGCTATAGCTCTCAGTATTAGATGTGAGGCAGCATGCTGGAACTATCTTAAAAGGGAATTTCTCTCCTTGGGACATGTGTGTGACCAAGGGCGGCAAATGCGAAATGATTTCTTGACCTAAAACTCTTTTGGGCTTCTCTGCAGATGCCTACTACCTTCAGAGTCAAATTGCATAATCTGCTTTTCTTTCAGTGATGCAGAAATTTGAGAAGGTTCCGGAATCTAAAGTGCTCTTCAATGCTGACATTGCTGTGGTGGTCAGGTCCAAAGTTCCTGGTTCTGAATCCCCACTGATGCAGTGCTTGGCAGGTAAGGGATGGCGGGGAGGTGGGCACATGGCGACTGGTATAGGAATAGGCTCTGCTGATCTTGCACGACCAGTCAAATAAAATAGTTACAACTATAATGAAAAGATAAACTTTATCAAAAACACTTTGTAAATCAATTCATTTCCAAAATGTACAGTCAACTCATAATTTCACTTCAGAGTTTGTGGTGCATCTATTATATGCCGAGATTAGGGAGCAGAAAAAAGAACACTAATTTCTTGTGGAGCTGTCTGTCCAGGTTGGGAGATATGCCTGTCTATTTCAACCATGAAGCCAGGGAGGGATAATGACAGCTACCATTTATTGAGCATGTGTCATTATAAGGGTTATCTCATCATCCTACAGTCACAGTCATTGTTGTCCAATGTTATAGACGAGTGTATTTGTGTGAGTGTATTTGTGTGTGTGTGTGTGTGTGTGTGTGTGTATTTGGGAGCAGGGAGTAGGGGTATGTGTCTGTCTGTCCTCAGCATCACCTGAGAGACAGGTGGGTGACTGTCCCATGGTGTTTGCAGACTGTGCGTTGGACGAGGCCTGCAGCTTCCTCGCAGTGTCCACGGTGGGATCAGAAGTCTCGTGTGATTTCTATGCTTGGACAAGTGACAACATCGCCTGCATGACTTCTGGTCAGGTGAGTCGTGGCAGCTGTGCGGTGGTTCTGCCTCCTGTCCGTTCTATGTCAGACTTACTCTGATTGCGTTGACACCAGGCTGATCAGGGGATGGAATGAGATTGTGGGTAGCTGATCCCATGTTGTCTCCATTTCTTCAAAGTGATGAGACTTTGGGAAATTGAAACTGCAGTAGACCAGTGATGGCTCAGGATGAAGCTGACATCAGGAGCATTCATCTGAGCAATATCAATTAGGATCAGTCCTGACAAATCAGTCAGAAGAGAATTTCAATGATCAGCACTCCCCTTCTGCTACCCACCAGCTTACCTCATCGGGCGGTGTGGGCAGCAGATGCAACAGGGCATTGTCCAGAGCCCTAAACACCATCTGTCCCCTTGAGTCTCAGACACCCCCCCATTCCTTTCCATGGTAGAAGTAAAATATCATTATGATTTAAAAAGCAAAAAATTAAATATTAGTTAGAACCACATGGAATTACTGTTTCTATAAGTCAAAGCTGGTAGAGTATTGGCAATTTCATGGTTACCATGAATTAGGACAGAAGGGGATGCAGTGAAAATTAATTCTCCTGTCTCTTAACTCCCTAACTCCTAACTGCATGCAAATCTCTATTTTTACTCTCCAGTTTCTTATGGATCCTTCCCGAAAATTTCTATGTGTTTATAAGCATCAATCTTTGTTTGTTTACATGCTAATATTTTATAATACATATTCTTTTCTACCTTGATTTTGCTATATAATATTTAACTTTCAGTATCTTAAAAAAGGAACCTTGTTCTTTTTAATGGCAGCATACCAATCCATCCTATGGATGTACACAATTTATTTCACACTTGTTAAGGATGTGTAGATTTGTTAGCAGTTTTGCAGCATCACTAACACACGTGCATTACACGCCCTTTGTCCATGTTCCTGTGCTGGCGTGTGAGTGTGTATTCATAAGCAACATCCTGGAAGGGGCATGGAGGGTGGACTTCTGAATTTTAGGACTTGAACTGGGGTCTGAAACTGCATAATCCCGAGAAGAGGCAGAAGGGGTCTTGGATTGAATCTCAGCCCCATCACTTTGGGGCTATTAGACCATGTGTAGATTCCTTAACCTCAGTCTCCTCATCTGTAAAATGGAGTCTTTAACTCACAGGCTTCTGGTGAGGATTCAAGGAGCTGACACGAGACCCAGTAGACTGTTGAGGAAAGGTTAGCTCCTTTAAGTTTAAGGTGTAAGCATTCTGGGGAGGATGACAATGGCCTGTATTGTTTTCACTATCATGATTCAGACCTGGTCTTAAGATATGTCAGAGAGGGAATGGGGGTCATGAGTGGGGAGGGGGAGGACAGGCTTGTAGGCTGATGACACTCAGCGAGAACTCCCTGTCATTAATATCAGGACTGAGCACAGAGCCTTGGTGTCGCCCTCTTCTGCTGTCGGACAGTGCAGACTAGTTCCATTTACTTGTTTTATGGGGTTTCCAGGTGCTGCGCCCTCATCTCGGCTGGTCCATGGCAAGTGATTCTGCCAACAGGACACCTCTGTCCAGACCTCCCTCAGGTGCCTTGTGGCTGAGGGGTCTGAGGACCACAGCTGTCACTGTGTGTCACTCTCAGTGACAGTGGCTCCCTAGGTGATTGTCAAGTCATTGGGAATCCCCGATTTAAAGAAAATCTGCTCCTTCTGTTTTCCTAAGGGATCAAAGCCAACTTATAGAGTTAATAATAATACAAAAATAACTGACACTTACTGAGTGCTTACTAAGTGCTGGCATTTCTCTGGCAAACATATTGGATTATTGATCATTTGATCCTCCGATATCTGACAGCTGCTCGTTTAGTAAGTGTGGATTTCAGTCTACAAGAAATATACCACTTCTTAATATTTTTTTTTTTTTTAAAGCGAAAAAGGCGTGAATTCTACCTCCAACTCCTCAGCCATGAGAGACCCTCTCTTACCAGGAGAGTCCTTTAGAAGGTGGCTTTGGAGCCAGGCTGCCTGGGTTCAAGCCCCAGCCCCACAACGTGCTTGTTGCTGTTTTGCCCCCTGATTCATCAGAGCCCCCGTCTCTGATGTGGGGAACTAATGGCACCCACCTCCCAGAACTGTTGTGAGGACCGAGTAAAGTCGTGCACGGAAGAGCTCACAGGACAGTTTCTGCCGCAGAGTAAAGGCTCAGTGACCATTGTTACGGTTGCCACCATTGCTGTTATGTTGTTATCCACACGTCGGGTTGGCAGGAAAGTCCATCTCAACAGTTAGTAAGGCTCCTCTCCTGAGGGCCCAGGGCTCTCAGAGTGGTCCCAAGGCACGGACGTCGGGGCGTTGATGACTGATGACTGATCCACACAGCCGGTGCTGAGGCCATGAGCCCAGGCGCTGCCTTCAGGCCCCTCCGCGCCCTTGTGTCTGGGCCAGGCCCGGGTGTGGAAGGGACTCTTGGGCACGCAGGGGCCCCACCCTTTGGGGTAAGCCCCTCCAGCCACTTGCCCCACCTCCGCCAGGGCCTGACCACAGATGGGCCAAGGGCTCCTGCTGCCTGGGACCCACAACTCAAGCCCTTTTCTGGTCTGCAGGAATCTTTCTCCTCAAAGGCTCTTGTTCCTCCCAGACCATCATCGGTTCAGTGAGCTCAGGCTTTCTAAAACACAGGAAGAGCTGTTGCCTTCAACTAGATTTGCTTTAGCCCCTGCCCTCCAAAAATTCCCGCAGCCGGGAAACTCAAAGGCAGACCACTTTGAGGGGGAGGGTAAAATACAGGGAAAAACCACAAATTGATACAGACAGATTTATCCTCCCACGCCCACACAGCAAGAGTGCTGGAAAGAGTCGGAAAGAGAGATCAGAGATGAGTGAGGACGGCAGGATCTTTGGAAGTCTGACCTCCTCATGTCCAAGCTTAAGAACCTTCCTCTGGTCCTCACTGGATACCAGCTGCGTGCCTCCAAGGTCCTCCATGAGCTGGCTCCTGCCTCCCTCCCTTCTCCCTCCACTCCCTGCAACTGACAGGCCCCGAGAACACTGGACCTAGTTCTCAAAACACCCATGGAATTCTAGTTCTCCATTTCTGCTGTTTCCTCTGCTTAAAATCACCCTTCTCTTGTTCCCACCTGAAAAACTCTTACTTCTATATCAGTACCCCACCCAGATTCACTTTTTCTGGGAAATTTTCTAGCTCCCCTTTCTCAATAGAATTAATCACTCCCTCTTCTGTAATTGACCTCCTCTCTAGTTACGTGTGTCTTTGCAGCTAACACTCTGGGCCGGAATTTACTGCTTAATGTCTGTGTGCTCTAATAGACTGGGAGAAACTATCGAGCAGGAATCTTCTCTTATTTATCTTTGCAGCCCCAGTGCCGAGCTTTGGTTCAAGTCTGACGAATGTTTATTGAATTGAATTATTAAGTATCACAGGATGATAACACAGCCTCTTTCCTTCTTCAGGATCAAGACACATTGGGGAACTCGAAGGCCACCAGCTTTGGAAGTCTTAGCTGCCTGGTGAAAGTGAGGAGCAGGGATCAAGACCCTCCGGCTGTGTATTTGAAAAAGGGTAGGTTGGTTGAGAGCTGGATGGCTCGGGGCCTCGGGGGCTTAACTTGTTCAGTGTTTGGAGCTGCTTTCCAGCGGGGCACGTTTAGGGAGGGGCCCGACTGCCAAGGGACTGGGAGGCTCATTCTGTAGGCGAGGAACTAAGTTGCAGGGCAGACACAAAGTCTGCAGGGAGAACCCAGCTGAGTCCAGACTGTGTGCCCCATGCAGCCCCACGAGGCTGCCTGTGAGGTGGGGAGCATCTCCAGCCGGGACATGGGCTCTGGGCTCCCTGCAACTGCCCCTCCTGGGCTTCCCTCTCACGGAGCCTCACGCTCCTCTCCCATTGATCTCCACCCTCCCTGGAAGTTGTCAGACCTTCTCCTCACAACCAGTCCAAACCTCCGAGCACTTTCTCTCTCATCACCCTGCACGCAGGACCTCTTCCAGCTGTGATGCGCTTGCTCGTTACCTGGGGGCCTGGAAAAATGCAGATTCTGAGTCAATAAGTTGGGGTAGGGCCAAGATTCTGCCTTTCAAATTCCCTCTCAGGGATGCCAAAGCCGCTGGTCCCTGGACCACACTTCGAGTAGCACGGGTGTATCATGTTTTACAGCTTACAGCTCACTTCCCCATACATCCCTTCATTCCAGCCTCACGGAAATCCTTGGAGGAAGGCAAAAATGGGATCATAATCCCCATTTTACAGATGAGGAAACTGAGACTTAGAGAGATTAAGAGAGTTGCCCAAGGTCACACCGCTAGTAAATTTGGGAGCTATGTTTGACCCTAAGTGTGTCTGAATTCCCCCTCAGAGAGGGCTTCACAGAGGGCCAGCAGGGAAACACTCTGATCTCTGTAGCTTGTGTAAGAGAAGCAGTCCCCCTGAATCCTGTGGCCTGTGCAATTCTGCCCTGTCCTGCTCGCCTCCTGCCGCCTCTCCATCAGGCCCAAGAGAGGTGACAGCAATGCCAGGTTGTGAGCCCTGGGCCCCACGAGGCTCTGCCCCATGAGCCGTGACACTGTCACTAGCCACTGCGCTCCCCGGGCCCTCACTCCATGCAGTTCAGGGTGAGGGTGGGGGAGTCCGCCTGCCCGGGTTGACCCCAGCTCTGCTGCACGTAGGCGATGTGATCTTGGGCCAGTTCTTGATGTTCTAGGCTTCTGTGATTCCTCATTAGTAACACAGGAGCCACAGGCGAACAAAGGTGGTCGGGAGGTCGGAATGTGGTGACGCATGGGATGCTTTTAGAACAGTGGAACTTGGTAAACAGCAAGTGCAGGATGTTTCTACGATCATTTGTATTTTTGCTAAAAAGTTTCCTGATGACCCGAGGCTATGGCTGTGGACCAGAAGACAGCCAAGGGGGCCTGGATGAGGATTTGGGGGTTGGAACGAAGGGTTGCAGGCGTGTCATTCTCTTAGGTCCGTAACTCAGGGCAGGTGGCCTAGCTCCCAACAGCTTCAGACTTGCACTGCGAACAGCTGGCAGCCAGTGGAGAGGTTGGCACGGCTCAGGCGCACAGCCCCAGCTGACCTCAGCAGCAGTCCTCAGCATCGCAAGCATTTGTGTTTTTTTTGTCTCTGGTCCTTCTTTCACTGAATGCCTCCAACTTGTCTCAGAGGAGGGTCCCCCTGGGATAAGGGAGTCCAGCAGAGCTTGGATTTCTCTGATCTGTGGCCAGGGTTACTAGAATTTCTGCCCCACTGTTTATTCCAATTATTTTTACTATCCATTTTTAAAAATAATAACAGAGCACAGAGATTATTTTCTAAAAAGGAAAGCCACAATAAAACAAGTAACTCCTCCCAAAAATATTCTTTAAAACCATACCTTGGTCTTTTGTCACACTTTTAAAAAATGCAATTGTGTGTTTTTTTTTTTAAGTGTTTGTTATATTTTTTTCCTTCTCACCTCCTGAAAGTTTATACTTAGGGGGAAGATTGCAAGGGAAATTGCGAAGCTTCCTTGCTGCCAAACTAAATCAAGGGCAGAATTGTTTTTTGCTTTTTTTGTTTTATTTTGATGTATTTTTAAAGCAGAAAGTGCACAGACCCAGCCTTTAGGGATCCTGGTGTTGTGGAAAGGGAAGGGAGATTGGGGCAAGCTGCATCTGGCCTCAGACTCCCGCCTCCCCACTTACTAGCTCTGTCTCTGATCAAGAGTGACTTTATTTTGCTTTCTGTAAAATAGCAATAAAATATCACAGCTGAGGGGAAAAGGACACGGTTTCTGAAAGTCCCCAGCACAGTCCGTGCCACTTAGTAGGTAGTCAAGCACGTCCATTCACACGTCTGGCGTTGAGTGTCCGGGAAGAAGAGACAGCTTGATCCATCCTCCAGTACCATCCTCTGTCTACACCAACTGAGAGTCTGTGGCCTTGAACATGGAGGAGGAGCCATGTGATTTTTCAGGATCAATGGAAGACAGCTCCCAAAGTTTCCTTTGAGATTCTCTAGCCCAAACCCCTTATTTCTAGATGAGGTCTAGAAAGAGGAAGCACCTTGCTGCTACATCAAGGTGGAACCTGGAACTTCAGGGCACGGCCTCCCCCAACTCTGAAAGATCTCCCAGACCTGCTCCACTGTCTAGGACTCGACCATTGTGGGAGTCGGCTCAGCACTGGCACATCCCATAAGTATTTACTGAGCACCCACGGTGTGATACACACTTGGGCAGGCACTGTGGATGCAGCTGTGCATAAAGCACACAGAATCACTGATTGATGAAGGAATTGATCCAGCAATAAGATCATTTCAGAGGGTGATATGTGCTTTGACGAAAATGAAACAGGACAATCGGATGAAGATGGACCTGGGCCACCTAGAATATCTGTCAAATTCATAGACACAGAGAGGAGGACAGTGGTCACTAGGGGCTGGGGAAGGGAGAAAGGGGAGTTAGGGCTTGATGGGTGCAGAGTTGATGAAAAAGTTCTGGAGATGGATGGTGGTGATGGTTGCTAACAGTGTCAATGTATTTAATACCATTGAACTGTACACTTAAAAATGGTTAAAATGGTAAATCTTATATATGTTTTATCACAATTATAAAAGGAAAATAAAGCTGGACATGAGGTGTTTTAGGGTGCCCAGGGAAGGAACTTCGGAGAAGGGGACATTGGAACTGAGACCTGAAGATGAGAAGGAGCCCACCGTGCAAAGATCTCAAGGCAGGTGGTCCTTCATGCAGGGTGATGTGGAGGATGCCAAGGTGAGCTGAGAGAGAGCCCTACCCTCCAGGGCATCACTGTAGAACTTTCTGCAGTGATGGAAATGTGCTATAAATCTCTGCTGTTTAAAATGATAGCCAGTAGCCAACGTGGCCACAGAGCAGTTGGAATGTGACTCCTGCTTTGATGAGCTTTGATGAACTGAAATTGACATTTGAGTAGTCACCTATGGCTAGTGACTACTGCATCAGATGGCAGGGAATGGCCCCAGGGAATCGCAAGCTGGTGGGGGAAGCAGACACCATCTCAAGTGGCTTAAATACAGGGTGAAGGATGATGGAGCCTTTAGCAGAGGCATGAAGAGAGTCTAAGAGAGATTGAGGGAGGAGAGATGAACTCTAACCATAAAAATCTGTGGGATGGGCCCTTTAAGTTAAGCTGGTGAAGGATCGGGGGGGCTTCGCTGGCATAGTTAGAGGGCATCAGGCAGAAGGGGCTGAGTGAGTCAGTGCTTGGAGGGAGAAGATACCGGCCATTGGAAATGTCTGCTGAGCATCAGCCAAGTGTCAGGCTCATTGCTCAGCCTTTTTATGTACAGTCAATCTTTTTATCTGCTCAACATCCCTGAGGATTACATACTATCATCCCTATTGTACAGATGGGAAAGCTGAGGCTCTGGGGAATTAGGGACTTGCTTGCCGTGCATGCTGCAGGGATTTGCACTTAGGTCTGTCTCATTCTGAAGCTTGTGCTCCTAAATCCCACACTGTAAGCCTCTCCACTACCTCCAGGTGCACGAGTCGGTAAGACCTGGTGAACTCCTGGGCCGGCGGGAGGTCAGGTGGTGAAGAGCATGGGCCTTGGCGTTCCTTCTGCCATCACCAGCTGTGTAAACCCAGGCAAGACCATTCAGGCTTGTTAAGGTTCTCTTTCCTCAAGTGTAAAATGAACATAATTATAGGACAGACATTTGGGCTATAGTGCAATATATATATCTCTCCCTGAAAAATCTCATATTTGCAAAATGATGCTCTAAAAATACAGGGCTATGGGAAAACTAGACTTAGGGACAGGCAAAACCCAAACCATGCCATTTCTAAACAGAAGACTGACATAAACAATTACAATCTTATGTAAGATGCTAGCACAGTTTAAAAAAAGACATACTGAATCCATCACCAAGAAATGTGACAGTAAATTAAAGGCCTAGGTGGCCTGATGTGGGAGGATGTAGGGAAATGTTGAGGCTGCTGAGTTACAGAGACGAGGGCCGGTTGCACAAAGAGAAGGGAGAATTGCAATCGTCTCTTTGAAGACAGAGTCGGTGGCGGGTCTGAATCAGGAGGAAGGACGTGGGCCGATGGGCGTTGTGTCCAGTTCCGTTTCTCTGCAGCTTCTTGCGTTCTGCTGCATCTGTGCACGCTGCATTCACCTTGTGTGATGGCACGGGGCAGTGAGATGCCGGGGAAAACTGTAGCTCTACCATTGCTGCCTCAGCATCACAGTGCCAGAGCTTCGTGTCCACCGTGTGTTCGAACCACTTTGCGGTTTCAGAAACGCATGTGATACAGAGCAGGGGGAACCTAACTCACAGGGCAGAGAAAATACAATGAGGTCACAAAGGTAAAGCACGTGTCACGGTGTCTGTGTATGCAGTTGGAGCTCAATAAGTAGTTGCTGGTAATAATAAAAATAATCATAAATGCCAGTTCTCCATAATCATAAATGCCAGTTCTCCGCACCTCCCCTTCAGACCCTCAAAGGTATGCTGGGCGTGTGTCTGGGTCTGCCTTCAGATTGGGGGCCATGGCCATGGCGGGGTCCTCGCTCCTCATGCCCAGGCACATGCAGAAGTTTCATGGCACAGAGAGCGTCTTGTCTTGAACCACATGCTGCCCCAGCACAATCAGAGAGTCCACTGTTGTATGACCAGTGAACTCTGGTCAACTCTGCATTGTTTTGAGATTTTTAAAAAATGCTTTCTGCTTTTTCCCCAGGCCAAGAATTCACCACAACTAGTCAGAAGAGCTTCCAAAAAACTGGTTTCCAAAACACGCTCTCCGGAATGTACAGGCCTGTCGTGTTCTCAGCCTCAGGAGCCAATCTGACAGAGGTCCATCTCTTCTGTCTTCTTGAATGTGACCGTGATTCGTGCTGCGATGGCTTCATCCTTGCACAGGTCCAAGGAGGTAATGTGACAGTGAGGGCCAGGTCCCTCCTGTACTATGACAAAGGATGGGGAGCACGTGGGGTCGCAGAGCCGGGATATACAATGTGGAGACGGCCATGGGAAATTGCAGGCATGAAGCGGCCACGCCCAAACAGAAGGTGCTATTCACATACACAAAGGGACAAGCTGTGACCCTTTCAACATGTCACATACTGTGCTAGCCGCTTCATGTTGTAATGCTGATTTTTTCCTTACTGCTGTCTTCAGGGGAGGTATGGTGAGCTCCGTTTTACAAACCGAGAAATGGAGGCTCAGAGAATTGGAATCATTTGCTCATGGTCGCTCAGCTTGCAAAGTAGTAGAGCTGAGGTTTGAGGCCAGGTGTATCCTCAACAGCATCTTACTGCCGCCTGTGAAGCCTGGACTGGTCAATTTGACCACATTTGGTCAAAAAATGGTATTTCATTCCCATCGCCCACGATCATTCATTCAATGATTATCTATTGAGTGCCTATGTATGCCAGGTCCTGTGATCAATAGGACTAGAATTTTCTGTTGTCTCTCAAAAGTGGGGATGGACTTCTGTTTATAGAAATAAATCCCTGTACTTGGCTATATAACCTAGCAGATGAGAAGGGACTTTGGTGTCAGATGGACCTGGATTACCACTCTGTCACTTTCTGGCTGTGTAATCTTGGACAAGTTGCTTAAACTATCTAAGTTGCAGTTCCCTGTCCATAAAATAGAGATAATGATAATTCCTGTTTGACTACTTGTTATAAGGATAATGGGTGCAAAATGCTGGACATGGATTTGGCTTCTGGTGTGCTATTAGTTTAGTAGCAGAGGGACTTAACTATAATCAACTATGTGACTGGTTGCATTCAGCTTATGGAGAATTCTGAATATTAAAGAAAAATCCAAGTAGTCTTATATAACTTTTTATGACCCTCACTTTCAGTCAATAATAAACTTAAATTGACCATCATATATGTGCAATCTAATGTGTTAGGTGTTGGGAAAAGATAAAAGGAGCTTAGAGTCTGGTTGGGGAGGCAGGGGTACCATGAAAGGACCATGACATTCTCTCCTTCATTCGGACTGTCATCCAGCAAACAAGTATTGAGCGCTGCTCTGCACCAGGCTCCATAAACAAGGCAGCGTGAGTGTCAAGACCACTGGAGCCTTGGAGTGCAAAGGAGGGAGATACTATGGGGACTTGGTGGTCAGGGAAGGCTTTCTAGAAGTGGAGAGACTTGAGCCAGGCTCAAGGGATGGGTAGTGTTTACATGATGAGGTTAGAGAGTTTGGCCCACAGTGGGCATCCATGTGAGCTGAGCTAGAGGCAGGGAGACTCCATGTGTTCTGAAGACTATTAACTGTGACCTTGGGCTTATCAGTGAGCAGGTTGTTTTTAAAGTCCCCACCAGGTACAGCACCCAGAGTTGTGCTCAGCTCCAGTGTCTGCGCATCATCCCCTCCTGAGAGCTAACCTGCCTCCTGGGGGCAGAACCTGTCGCCTTCATCCCTTCTCTCCTCTCTCATTCCTGGTCTCCACCCTGTCTGTCATCAGCCAGTGCCCTTCACTGTCGCCCCTGTCTCTACTGTCTGTGTTATGTTAAGGAGCAGCACAACAGGGCTCTTGATCTCGTGTCTTCCATCTTGCTCCTGGTCCGTATCTCCCCTTTCCTATCACAGGCAGACCCTACAATCTGAAACTGCTTCACTCCCCAAAATGCCTCTACCCACTCACCAGTCACCAGGGCCATCATCCCATCCTCCTTAGCCTGGGTGTGTGTAGTCAACACTATTGACTGCTCCGTGGTTCTTTAAACTCCCCTCTCCTAATTTCCAAGACACCCTTCTCTTGCTCAGGCTGCTCCTCCCATTCCGCTTCCTGAGCACGTTCCTTAGAGGGTAACTGTAAACAGGTTCTGCCTTCTCCCCTCCTGGGTCTCTACCCTGACCAAAACTCTCTGCAGAGGTCCAGAACCACGTACTCATCTGGTGTCTGGATAAACCTCTGGATGGCCTGCAGATGCCTCAAAGTCAACATGGCTCTGAATGAATGGATAGTTTTTATCCAAAATGAACTGCTTCTCTTGTAAACTCCACCTTGGAGAAGGTCACTCAAGCCATAAACCTGGGAATCATGCTGCATTGCCCCACAACCTTCCTGCCCTGTTACTAATTTGTCACTTTGATTTCTTGTTACTCTCTTCTTCTTATCTTTGGGATTAAGTTTATTCCCTCCCTACCTCCACTGTCTGTGTTTAGGCCTGTATTATTTTTTTTCTTGGTAATTGTGTCAGTCTCTTCATTGCTGTCTCACCACCAACCCCCAAGCCCCCGTTCTAGATTCCCCAGCCTCCAAATCAGTCTGTACAACTCTAAGTCCCACTCATGCTTCCGGCCTGCTGAAATATTGTTTCATCTCTTCTCTTTGCATCGGAGTTCACATGTCCATCTCCCTGGTGGATTACAACTTCCAGTGCTGTGAGTTCGCCATTTATCCTAGCTCCTGAGAGAGCCATGCGCACTGTAGGTGCAGAGTAATGTTGATGAGTTTAGTTGATCCCAGAGAAAAGATGTGACCTACCTGATGCCCACATTCCAGTGGTCAGCAAAGTGAACTGGAACCCAGGCTGCCTAACTCCTGGTACCAAGAGCTTGTCCCGTATTCCCTGCCTCTACCTCCTTCTATCAGGTGCAGAGAGAGAAAAGGATAATTGTTAATTGATAGGCTCTGAAGAAAAGGTAAATATTACTTTGAAAACATATAATAAATGTTTTTCCCTATTTAAGGAGATAAATTAAGACTACCCTAAATCCTGAGACATGTGTAGGTTTTAACTAAGTGAATAAAAGAAGGGAGATAATTCTAGACAGAGAGAATGGCATGTGCAAAGGCCTTGTGGTAGGAGGGTGCATGATACAGAAGAGGAGATGAGAAGAAGCCGTGGTCACTGGACTAGGGAGAGGAGGGTGGGAAGGTGAGCCCTGGTTTGGGAAGGGGCAAGAGGGATAGAGAAAGGCTAGACCATAGAGAACCTTGTCGGTTGCACTAAAGGTTGTTTTTATCCTAAGAACAACTGGAAGCTATTGAAAGTTTTAAGCAAAGGAATGTCATGATCAGATTTGAATTTTGAAATGAGCACTTTGGCATGAGTGTACAGAAGGTGATGGATAGGGAGTTAGAGAGATGTAGAGAGTGCAGTGAGGAACCACCCCCATAGTCCAGGGAAGAGGGATGGAGAGCTGGGGCTGGGGTGACAGCAGTGGAGCTGGAGGAAAGGGGGTGGACTCAAGATATCTTTAGGATGCAAAATCAACATGATTTTGGATACAGGATTGAGGAAGAGGGAGGTGTCTGATCATTCTTGGCTATCTAGCTTGTTCACCGGGTTGGATAGCTTGCTTGTATGGCGAATAATGGAAAATATGAGTTGTCGGATTTGGTGATGGGAGAGGGAGATTTGGGGAGGTCAAGGGTCCATTTGGGGTATGCTCACTTTGAAGGGCCTTTAAGACATTCACAAGTTGTGGACTAAGCTTTTGAATGCAAAAATCCAGAGCTCAGAGAGGGAGTCTGGGTGGGAGATAGAAATGTTTGACTTAGCAGCATTGAGGTGGTGTCAGAGGTGTGAGTATGGATGTGATTTCCTAGGAAGAAGGTACAGGGTGAGAAGACAGTGGGGGATGGGGCTGATCCCTAATGGACACCTGCGTAATGGGAGGAAAATCTGCAAAGAAGACAGAGCGTGGGCAGAGCAGCAGACCCAGGAGAGAGGCACTTTGTGGAAACCAAGGTGGAGAGGGTTGAAAGGCGAAGAAGTTGTCAATAGCTTTGAATGCTGCTGAGCATTCAAACAAGGTGACCACTGAAGAATGCTGAGGTCAGCTCACGGTGGTCAGGAGTGGCTAAAATAAGAATGTTTTGTTGGAGTACTAGAGCAGGAATTGGATTGGAGTAAGTTGAATCCCAAAATTCCTTCTAGGTTTAATGCTCTGTGATTATATGATGAGCATTCATGTTAGTGTTTAGATAAGCAAAAAAAAATTATATATATATAGATACATAATTATACACACACATACATATGCATGCACACACACATATGTACACACACATGCATATATGTCTTTATATATACCATGTATACCTATATTTAAAAACACTATAATTCAAATCCAGGCTGCCTTCGCCTCCCTTAAACCAAATGTCTTTTCTGGGGACACCACAATTTCCCCAGATGCTTGATTACTCACCAGACCATATGATTTTTCAAGATGGAAATGTTGATTTCATTTTCCTTAGGATCATATATAAAATAATTATTTTGTTCCATGGGGCAGTAAGCCCACAAAATCCTTTTTTCCACGACATTTCTGGCTAGCAGCTTGCTTGCTTTTCCCTCCCAGTGCAGCCTGTGATCTGTGAGTTATGTTGAGCTGAATGGCCACCTCGCAAGCTGCAAGTTAAGCTCTCTCTGAGGCACACGTAAAACATCAGGCAGATGTTTTTCCCAGTCTTGTCTGATGATCTGGAGTTTTGACTTATAAGGCTTTGGCTGAATCTGCTGACGACCAGGAACAGAATCTTGCTGCGTCCTTTTACTGCAGTCTGGAAAATCATTTCACTTTCCGGTAGATTCCCCCTCGTCGCCTCTCTTGGCTCCCACCCTTCCCAACAACACTCCAGCCTCCTCCAACTTCCAACTCCTAAATGGCTTTGTTTCCACTGATAATTATTGATGAAAATTCATGAGGCTTCTGTACCTACATTTCAGTTGAGGCTCCTTGGAAGTGGGGCTCAGAGGGACTTGTGTGGCCTGAGGTTCATAGGAGCGTAATTGAAGCTGGCAGGTTGTAATCAGCAAAGTAACGTCTAGTCTCTAGCTGGCCCTCATCTCTGGGACACACAGAGTTCCCACTGACGCTTTAGCACAAGTTATGAAGAAAGCGGCAGGGGTTTTTCTCCAGGGTCTGAGAGCAGAAGGAAAACACACTCCACCTCCTGTTTAATTCTGTGATCCTGTGTTTTGGCTCATGAGAGGGGCAGATCACAGCCCTCAGACTTCCTCCGAGCTCTCAGCAGGCTCTTACCGCACCCAGCTACCCTGGGCTCCATGCCTCAGTCTGGGCCTTGCCGAGACCCTGGCTGCCTGCTGGCCGTTCCTGTGCTTCTCAGCAACTAGCACAACCATTCTCCCTTTCCGTGCCTCGGTTTCCTCATCTGTGAAATGAAGGGGTCTAACCAGTTTAGGGATTTAGCAATCCAGCTGTGCACTAGAATCATCTGTGGTGCTATTTACAAATACGAAGTCCCAAATGCCACCCCTAATCCCTCACACACACACGACCTACCAAGTCAGAATCTCTGCGGTTGGTGCCTAGGAACATGCATTTCCCAAACTCTCCCCGTGTTTTTGATATAATCAGTCTAAGCACCCTGGTCTGGGAACCACCACATTAGAGGAGCTCGAAGGTAATTTTTTTACACCGAGATGCTGCTGCTGCTACTGATTTTGTAACTATTGCAGGTTAAAAGTGGCCAGTGGAAGGGAGAAGGACAAAATGTCAAACTCATCAGCCAGACGTCCATGAGTCGTCTCCTTTGGGGAAATTTTGATGAAAGAGGAGTTTGAAGCTTATCTGGACTTGGATATAAATTAGGATAAGAAAGGACATAGGAGTTGTAGGAGGTTAAATTTCCTTTTTTTTTACCCCGGGAGAATCTGAACAACTACACTCCCTAACAGGGTTATGAATTCAAATGATACATAAATTATTTAATTTCTGGATCTCAGTAAATTTGGGCAGTGTACTTAACTTATATGACACTCAGTTTCCTCATCAGTAAAATGGAAATAATAATGTCAATAAGAATTAAGGGGGGCTGGCCCCGTGGCCTAGTGGTTAAGTTCTGCCTGCTCTGCTTCGGTGGCCTGGGTTCACGGGTTTGGATTCCGGGCACGGACCTACACTATTCATCAGCCGTGCTGTGGCGGTGACCCACACACAAAATAGAGGAAGACTGGCAGCAGATGTTAGCTCATGGCGAATCTTCCTCAGGAAAAAAAGAGAAAGAATTAAGGGAATTACTACACATAAAGCAGTTGCTGTGGTGGCTGGCACATCACAGACATCCAAAACAGTTGAATTCCATATATTTATCTAACGAAAATCACTGTCAAATTCAGTTAGCTTGGGGGTAGGTCTTCCTGATACTAAATGAAGCCATAACTTTAGGGCAGCTTTTGAAAATTCAGAGTTAGAAGATACATTCAAGACAAAATAGTCAAATGCCTTCCTTAGTTAGAGATTTCTCTCTGCACCTCCCAGGGGTGTGGGCACACAGCCTCTGCTTGGATACGTCCAGAGACAAGGAGCTCACTTCCTAACAGGGACACTTGTGCCAGTGGTGTCCAGCTCTTGGTTTTTAATAGTTCCTTTCTTTGAATCTAAATACTCCTTCCTGAATCCCTTCACAATTGATCTCCTTTGTGTGTGTGTGTGTGTGTGTGTGTGTGTGTGTGTGTGTGTGTATGTGAATGACACAGAGAGAGAGAAGCTGCAGTTTATTTCCTTCAAGCCTCAAAAAGATCGCTCTGTTGGGTGGGGGTAGAAAATGGAGACAGGGGATTCTGGCAGTAAGATCCCTAGAGGTATTGGAGGTGTCAGTGCTATTGACCCCATGGAACAGAGGTGTCATCATTGCTTCTGACCCATGAAGAAGGGCTCAAAGGGAGGAGGGAAGGGTTGGGGCATGGTGGTGACCCTCCTGTTGAAAGTTTGCCAGTAAGACAATTGCAGGACCATCAGAGAAAAGTAATCTAATTTAAAACCAGGCTCCTGAGTTCCAGTGTCCCTGTCTACTCCTGAGGAATTGTCACCTGTCCCCATCCTACAAGCCTCTCAGGCACAGAGGTGAGTCTCTAAAGGGCCCTGCATGTTCCCCATCGCATCAACCTCTCCTCCCTCTCGTGACTGCAGGTCCCATCATCTGTGGGTTGCTGAGCTCCCCCGATGTCCTGCTTTGCAATGTTGGAGACTGGAGGGACCGCTCTGACGCCCAGACTAACACTACGTGTCCTGGTGTGACATATGACCAGGGGAGCCGCCGGGTGACACTGCGTCTGGGAGGCCAGGAGTTCAAGAGTAAGTCTCTGCCTTCTGCCCATGTTCCTTCAAAATTAATTTTCCTCACCAGCAAGGCCTTCTGCTGCTCCCTTATGAGCCCTCTCCAAACCCTGAAAATTTTTACATCTGAAAAGAAACTGAACCAAAATTGCTGCAGAAAAAACAACCAGAGCCCCTCAGCAGCATTCCACAAGAGGCATTGATTTGGCTCTCGGGCTGCAGGTTGGCTGGAGGTGGGCCGGCTCAGCTGGGTGGCTACACTGATGGTGCCCATCCAGGGGTCGGTTGGTAGTTGGCTGATCTTGTCTGGACTTGGCTGGGATGGCCTCGCCCCGCTTCATGTGTCTCTCATCCTCCCTCTGGATGAGCACATTCTTCTCCTGTAGATGGCAGAGGCAGGAGAGAACAGGGGAAAACAAGCCAGGCCTCAAAATGTTGAGGCTTGGACCTGACACTCTGTCACTCTGCCTTATTGTACTGGCCAAGGCAGACCACATGGCCCGGCTGAAAGTCAGGGGTGGGGAAATAGACTCTGCCCTTTTAGTAGCAGGAACTGCAAAGTCCTGTGACAAATGTGTGACTTCAAGGAGGGTGAAGAGCTGGGGCTCCAAATGTGATTTGTCCCCCAAACCAGTGCCCCCAGGGCATAATCTCCCCTCTGTGAGTTATGAAATTCCAGGTGGTAACAGTTGCACTGCCCATTCTAATTACAGGGGGCTGCAAGGGACTGTGGGCCCGACTACTTGGGCTCAATGAACAGAAATAACCATTGAGCTTGCTCCTTCCCTTATTTTCTTCCAGAAGCTCTTCCAACCTTTCTTTTTCATAAACTTATAAGCATTAGATCTAGAAGTCTCCTCGGAGGTCGTCTGCTGCACCCCTTCATTGTACTGCAACACGGGGCTTTGAGGGAGGCCCTGTTATTATCATTATCCCCATTTTACAGCTGAGGAAACTGAGGGACACGGAAGAGAGGTAACTTCCCAAGGTCCCAGAGCTTGTAAGTACAGAGCTAGGATCTGAAACCAGGCGAGCTGGCTCCAAAGTGACGTTCTTAACCACCTCTCTACATTGGCACTTACAGATAACACCTAAGAAGAGTTTAGGAGAGTATCTGATGCACAGTATTAATATTAGATGATATTATTATCATTTTTAAAATCTGTCATTGTTTTTTCTTATATTTTAAGAACTAGGCTGTGTCTTATTAATTTCTGGATTCACACCATCGAGCATAAAACCTGGCATGGAGAACATACATGATATCTGCGGAGCACATATGTACCAAAGCCTGGAAAAAATATTGCAGAATTTGGTGGAATTCCAGGAGGCTTAGTTTCTTTTGGAGTAAATAAAATCAAATAGCTTATTTATATGATGGATAGTAAACATATGGTATCCATTACTCTGAGGGGTAGCCCAGGATGAAAACCAGCATTTGAAGAAAGATATACGATATATTCATGGGCAATAAATCCAGAGTGAATTGCTTAACACAGAGCATGTTCCTGGTGTGTGCCCAAGAAATGAAGAATGTGTCCTCATCTGGCCTCCCTGAGGAGTGATTCCCGAATGACTTTTTAAGTTTTTGTTTTTTTTCAGTGCCCTGTGTGTATGTGTATATTTTGGGGTGCAGACAAAGCTTAAATAAGGGTACCCTTTGGTGGAGATTTCAGGCCGCCTGAGGAATATTCATGATGTTCTAAACTGGAGGTTACCTGAGACACAGACTGATCAGGAGGCCACCTCCAAATGAGAACAATAGGGCACAAATCCTTCCTTTCCATAATGAGAGGTCAGTCTTTAAGTACAATTAACCCCTGGGAAAAGAAACATAATGATTTTAATTCTTACTAAAGTGTGAATAGCTGATACGTACCCTTTCCTAACAACAGATTTTGATGGAGGAAAAGAGGAGTGAGTATTTCAGGGATCTGAACAACTAAAGAGGAGGCCATAGAATGGATTGAAAGCACATGGGAAGGGGCTAGCGATGTAAAGAAGAACTCTATCCCTCCCAAAGTTGGTTGAGTGCCAGCCTCTTCCTTCCCATTTAGCAATTGGTTACATGTCATTAAAATACAGACTCTGGAATCAGACCCCTGGACTCAAATCCCAGCGTGAATGTTTACCCATGGTAAGACTTTTCTGGGCCTTGGTCTTCCCAATTATAAAATAAGGATAACGATGACTTCTGACTCCTAGGGGGGTTGGGAGGATTGAAGGAGGATGTACACGAGGCACCTGGAATAGTGCCTGGAACCAAGTGGGCTCCAACTTGGGCTCAGTAGATACTAGAGATTATGGAGCAAAGGCTTGCATTTAAAATACTGGAGTTGAATCTTGCTTTCTCCCCTAGCTCTGGGACCTTGTTCTAAGCATTTAACCGTCCTGAGACTCAGGGTCTCCATCTGTAAAATGGGACACACTTTTTTACATATTACAGAATGAAGTGCTAACATGCTCTATAGCTTGTGGTTTAAGGCATTGTTTTCTGAACCCCGAGTTTCTGGTCCCCCAACTGTGCATCTAACAGAGGCACTCTGTAGGACTTCTGGTCTGGACATCTTGCTCTCATGGATCTGCTCACCAGTACTTACTGTGGGGGGTCTGGTTCAGCAGGTGGCCTGGTTAATGGAGAATTAGCATTTACTTATAAAGGGTAAGTGAATTGATTGCCAGTTGTAGGAAATTACAACCCAATGGAATAAATTAAATTCAAATAGTAAACACATCAATATCCATACTGCATTTTACAAAGCATTTCACACCCACCAGCTCTACCGACCCTTTGACACTCTGTTGAGGCAGTGGGTTATATCACAATTTTGGCCATGAAAGTGAAACTCAGAGCTATGACGTGTCATACTTAAAGAAACTGTCTTTGCAATAGGTGACATAGCAGGGACTCAAACCTTGAGCTTTGGAGACCAGAGCTGTCAGTGGAAGCTCTCCACCACACCCCTCGGAGCCACTTGCTGCTACAGTGGTCCCGCATACAATTTACTGGAAGCAGAAAGTGTTTCAGAGTTATCCATGTATTGTACCAGCCAATTAAGGAGTCTGGTAATTGAGAATTCTGCTCCTTCGACATCTCTCTGGGGCCTGCTACAATCCAGACATTGGGTAATTAATGTCAGCAACCAGCACATTCTACTTCAAGATTTTAATGTCAGCTACTAGCATATTCTACTACAAGGCTGTGGGGAGAAGGGGACAGAAGGTCCAGGAAAGCCAGAGGGTCAGGTGTGAGTTGTGGAGGTGAGCTGGGAGGTGAATGAACAGCCATAGAGAAGGCGAGGCATCCACTACTCATCCCGAGAATCTGCTAGGTGTGAGGTACCAGGCCAGGAGTAGATACAGAGATGGGGAGAGTGGTTTCTGCTCTCAAGGGGCTCACAGGCTAGTTAGGGTGACAGATATGAAAATTATTAAAATACAGTGGGCCCTATGTTTGCCCATTTTAATGGACTGATGAAGGGTTGTGGGAACACAGAATTCCGTTTAGCACATCTCTCCTTATTTGTTAAACCAACCAAACCCCTTCTAGGTTACCTGTTCCACAGGAGTTCAGTCTAATACCAGCCGCAACAAGTGAGTACAGCCACAAACAAACAACCCCACCAGCCACCCAGAGGCCATTCCATCCCGTGTGAAGGCACAATGCTTTTTTTTTTTTATTTTTTTATTTTTTTTTTATTTTTTTTTTATAAATTTTTTGTTTATTGCAGTAACATTGGTTTATAACATTGTAGTCATCTACTTGTCTTGTAGTCAGGTGGTGAGAGAGGAAACCCGAGTTTCGGGCAGCGGGAAGCTTGAAGGCCTACTTTTTTTTTTTTTTTTT